TGAACTTTCAGATAAAATCTGTTTGCTGGCATAAATTATATACATTAAGTATGATGTTATTACAGTTACTTAGTGTTAATGTAGCCTTTTTACTGAATACTTTTTTACTTTGACTTGAGAAATTTCTTGGATGACTACTTTTTACTTTTACTTGAGTTAATAAAAATCTCAAAGTAGTGCTACTATTACTTGAGTACAAATTGTGGGTACATTTGCTCACAGCGCTGGTGCAGTACAGTCAAAGAAGGAGATTCCTGGAGGATGCAGCTCTATTTATGCCCAATGTGTTCATTTTGAAATGAGAGCAAATTTCATTAGGATTGCCCAGACATGCATGATTCAAGTGAAATACTACTTTGTGCGTGATTTAAATGGAGTAGCCTTATAACATTGCTAAAAGCTAAAAAGCCTGGGTTTGCATTATACATACCCTTTCCTGCAAAATGCTTTGCACATTTCTTCTGAACGTGTTTTCTTACAGTATATCAATGATGATATGATTTATTTCTTTCTACCCTATTTAAGATTTAAATAAACATTATCAAGCTAACAGCTAATCCAAGAGAAGCCCAAGACCAAAGCATGTTTGCAGATTTCTAAAATAGTGACAATTTAATGAATGTAGTAGTCATGTAAGAAAAATGTTTAATGTCCCATTCATATGCATTTGCTGATTATTTACACAGAAGAAATTTAGTATTTGTGCCAAAACTATAAACTATTTTAATAAAAGTCATTTTTTAGATGTCTTTAGGGTCTTTATAAGGAAAGAAAAAACAAAATAGAGAAATAAATATATAATATAAATCTGTCCATCCGTGGTCTCATCCCATCCCATCCTGTCAGGGTGAACTGGTGGCGTCTCCCGGGGTCTCATTCAATTCTTGAACTCTTAGATGTTTTTTTTTTTTTTTTTTTTACACTTTTTACATAAAGACAGCTATTCTGACTTGATATGACACTGGAAGATCATCAGTGCCACTTCACCTTCTACCTTTAGGAAACAGGAAGTGATGCAGTTGCTGTCCCATTTCAACCTTTGCCCCTCTTAGATTTCACTTCAGCATCCACGAACAATTAATCTTGATTAAAAACGGCCAAATAAAAACACCAAAGGAGTTTCATAAAACAGGTAGGACATTTGCACAAATCAAATACAGCAAATTGTTCCTCCTGTTCCTTAACCTTACCTGTAAGCAGAATTCTCTCTGCAGTTGTGTTTTTAAACACACGAGAATCCATCTTGCCCTGCTCCTGCTTGAGATTACTTTAACATAATGGGTTGAACAATTATGTTAAAGTATTTTGGTTTAAGGTGGAACATATAGCTATTAAGAAAAGAACACCTACCACCTGCTGAGCCCACATGAACAAAAATAAAGATGGCTCCACAGAAGAAGGTATGTGTTGCTGCTGCTTCCACATTTGTTTGGTCAGAATCCAAATTTCATCTTTCAAAGGGGAACAGCAAGAGTGTAAAAGCATAAGTTGGTGTGGTTTCTCATGGCGTCTGCTGGCATTTCATTTGTCCCTATGGTAGGCGGGTCCTAGGCTTCGCTTTGCCCAATCAGCTCGAAAGGCTCTGCTGAATGTAACTCCTTTCTCCAAACAGATTCAACAGGAGCGGTGCCAGATTAATAAGAACTAAACCTGAGTGACAACATCAGTCTGCTTTGCCAGGTTACCTGTCCTTCCAGGTTATTATAGGACAGAAATACACATGGATAATGCTAGTCACACTGGGACTACAGCTTTCCTGAAAAGTGTTACAAAAAAACCCAAATTACACAAATACTGTATACATGTGGAAACATATAAAAGTGCTTATATTTACATGTGTCACATACACTACACCTGTAGCAATAGTTCAGTTTTGTTCATTTTGTTCATCAAAGGATTGTGGGATTATTTACGCTCCTCTTTAGCACCAATAAGGGACTTTGTAAGTTCCCTATGCTAAAGGACCTATGAGAGGAAGCATACAGACTCCTTTTCCTACCTCCTCCCTAGCTGCCTCCACTATTCAAACAGCACTTATGGCAAACGCTGACACATATCCAGTAAATAATTCTTTACTTTTTTGATGTATCAGAATGAGCATTTGGCCTATCAAGGAATGTCTGAGTGTCCATTTCAATTTTGTGACTCTCTCCACCAGAAAACCAAAATGGCTCCGTCCTGAGTGTTACAGCTTTTTTTTTCTCTCCCCGTACAGTCTCTGTGAACATGGCAGCTTTGGCATGCTGGGGTCACACCTGTAACGTGTTTCACACTGAGTCGTATTTTTGAGCAGCCACCTGGATGAGGAAATAACGTGATCACAGAGCATGGAGACTACAGGGCCTTCCTGCCAAGAAGGAACAGGTGTTTGTTTTCGGCAAAACACATTAACACTACACAGACTGCTCTGACATTCAAAGTCTAACGTCACTATATAGGGCTTAGCTTTAAAAAGTCTAATCAAATTAGATGTTTAAAAGCCTTCATTAGACTAAAAGTAAGAATTGTTTTGTTTCTTGATTAACAGCTTGTGAATAACCTTAATTGAATACTATTTACGTCATGTTTCTTTTGTCTAAAGAAAAAGGACAAAAAAGAAAAAAGAAATGTGTCAGGGGGCATTTTACAAAACATTCACCTTAAGTGAATTATTTTCTCCCACCATTTGAGAGAGAAAATAACATTTTCCAGTCCAACTACTGCTTAGCTGGACTAATTTTTCTTTTTTTTTGTTGTTGTTGTTATTACGAGCAGCTTCGGGGGCATGAGAATGAAAAGATTGATTGTAAGAACGTTGTTTCTGTCAGCCACTAACATGGCAATGAAATGCCGGGCGCACCTGGAGCGGCACTCGTTTCTGACAAGCTCACACCAACGCGCGGGCCCCCCATTACAAAAACAATGAAGTCCATCATCAAATATTTATGGAAGATAAAGTAGTTAAGAGTGCTAAAAACAAGTGCATTGTGGCAGCAGGTGTGAAATTATTTCACAAGCCAGGGGTGGAGGGTCTGATGCGTGGAGCTGTAGGTGGGCGCAGCAGAATGAGAGGAAACCTGGAAATATTTCGAAAGGTCTAACGTGACGGCTTCTGTTCAGGATCAGTACAAAAAGCCCAGGTGAAAAACAGATGCTTGCATACAGTGCAATGCATAAGATAGGACTTTTCTCATTTGTGCATCCGAAGGGATTAGCACAACTTTTTCTTTTTGCTATTGGTAGTTTTTTTTTTTTTTTTTTAAATCATCATTTGTCAGAATTGTCTTTAAACTATATGAACTGGAGTTGAACATTTGGATATACCTCAGTAAATCTTCTCACATTGGTTTGCTGGGATTTTGGCCCATTCCTCTTCCTCACATAACTTTGGTTACCTAGCAACAGCATCAGCTTTATCTGTGAAGGAAATATAGACCAAACCTAATTCTTTTTTGATATCCTTTATCTATCCTATAGGTATATCTATACACTTTATGAAAGAAAAAAAACACAAATCCTCAAAGCTACACATTTTGTTATGCTGTTCTTTTTATGACTAATCTTTACATCAGAAAAGGGATGGAAACATTCACTACATAACAGAAGTTAAGGTAAAAACTAAATGTAAACAATAATTATTTACTGAAGATGAGATTTCTTGTTTTTCATTATTAAAGGGATGTAGGAGTGGAAAATAACTCCATTATCAAAATATAATAACAATATAGTTTTATTTGGTGATATATATTTCTGATATATTAAAATACAATTCAGTTTATTTTTAGTGTTGCTAAGTTTCATTTTCTAAAATGCCTCCAGAAACAGGATTCTGTTCAGCTTTTATTTTTTTTTCTTATATCCAGAACATATTATATTTACTTAAATAAAGAAGTAAATTATGATTTAATTTTTGACAATATCTTCCAGCCCTGACAGGACAAATGTCATTACTGAATATGACTTCAGCATTCTTTGTTTTGATGGTTTTTTAAAGATCTGAAGAACACCAGTTCTTTTGGAAAATAAAAGGGGAAGAAGTCAAGGGGAAATATTTTTGTAATTAATTCTTGGGTAGAAGCTTTATAGCAATAACATTTGGCTTTATGGTTAGAAAAATCAACGTTTAATCCACAATTTTTAGGAATTTTTTTCCCATTTTATCTGGATCTTAATATTTGCTCCCTTTTTTGTTGACAGATTCATGGTTGGATGCATGTGTTAAGATGAGCTATTCATTCATCTCCAAATGTACTTACAGAGATTATATATAGAGAAAGACTCTAAAGTTAGATCAAATAATCTAATTTTAAAGCTAATATCAAAGAATCTACTTTGTGAAGCGTCCTCATCCCTACAGAGAAACACCATCATTATGGTCATCATTCCACATCATTATACTGCCACCACCACACTTTACAGTGTGTTAGGCAAGCAACCTCAATTTTCCTCCAAATGGAAAAAATTGTCAAAATTTTACTTGTAGTGTCAGCCAACCACAGGACATAACTCTAAGGAGTTGGCTTCTTAGTGCATTATTTTTAAACTTTAAACTGATTTTCTAAGCCTGAAACATTGCCTCTTGTTCTTCACTGAGTGAATTTTCAACCCATGTTGGTACATGATTCTCTAACCTGCTTCAGCCATAGTCTTCAAGGTCGTTTACTTTTAATTCAGAGGTGATAACAATATTTTAACCAAAACACATTCTGCTTGGGGATAGACCACCCGTGTCTTTTTTCACATTATAAGTTTGCAATCTCATTTTTTACTTGCACACAATTTTTTTTTAATAGCTTTCTTGGTGTAGGTAAACCTATGAGTTTGCAGAAAGTCATGAACAGGTTCTGTTCTGTTACTATTCTGTCATATGCCGAAAATTAAAGATTTAATGTAAAGAAAACAGAAAGCTTTGTCTTTTTTTTTTTTCTTACACAATGTAGATAAATAATTCACTGATGATACATGAAAATAGAGGAAGTAAGAATGATCAGAGTGTTCTGATCTTAACAGAAATAAAACACATTTTATAATTAAAAATATGTTTATTAATCATTTTTATAATAAAGATCCTATAATAATAGAATTTAAACTCTAAGGCCACATGAGGTTAATCACAGATTGATCTGATTTTAGTGCAACATCTTTGAGGTAAATCACAGTTTGCTTTTATCAGCAGTCGGAGGTGCCACCTCCACCACCACCTTGCCTAGATTTCTCCCTGCATACATGTAGTCCACTGCCCTGAAAATCGACTCAACGCCCACAAATCTTCCTTCTTCTGCCATATCCCCACAATCCACCTCACACACCAGCTCCCCTTTGGCAAACATCTGCATCATGCTGCTCAGGGCCTCCTTGTAGTCCCCGATGAAGTGTGGCAAAAAGAAACCCCTCATGCTGGCAGACTTCTGGAGCAGCTTGACCGGCAGAGTCCCTCCTTTGAAAGGAGCGATACCCGACGCAGTCTGGTAGCCTGAAATGAAGCCGATCACTATCAGTCTGCCCTTATTGGCCAGGCTGTTCACAGCGAGCTCCAGGACACTTCCTCCCACCGACTCGTACACCACGTCTACGCCCTTCGGGTACTCCTTCCTCAGTGTCTTGGCGAGATCTTCTGTGGAGTAGTTGATTGGCCTGTCGCAGCCGATGGATTTGAGGAAGCCAGCTTTCTCATCAGACGAACACGTGCCAATGACGTGGCAGCCGGCTCGCTTGGCGAACTGTACGGCGAACTGTCCGGTTCCTCCGGCAGCCGCCGTGACCAGGACGGTCTCTCCTTTAGCCAGGTCGCCCAGGCGCTTCAAGGCGATGTAGGCCGTGGCGCCGCTCACCAGCAGGGTGAGAAACTCCGGCTTCACACAGGGAACGGGAACACCCTCCTTCGCGGGTATCACTGTGTACTCCGCGAAAGCTCCGCCGCTGCCGAAGTAAGCCACCGTGTCACCGACGGTGTAACGAGAGCTGGCGCTGAGGCCAAGGCCGACCACCTCACCAATTCCCTCAAAGCCAGCGCCAAAGGGGGGCTTCACTGAGGGGTCATAGCGGCCTGCAGAGTAGTTGATATCAGAGGCGTTGATTCCCACAAAGCTGAAACACAGAGAATAAAGGTTTATTGTGTTAAAGGTTTAGGGAAGGAGACAGCTGTAGCATGTTGTGGTGAGACCAAAGCACAACTAAAGATGTCTCACTAGGTCATAGGGTGAAGGTACATATACCCTGAATGTGAAGGACTTAAACCTCCTTTTGTTGGACATAAAAACTCAGGTTTATTTTAGCAAAACCTCAGATTCCCTCAGAAACGAAGAAACCTGGACCAACAGGACTAGACTTGTATCAAAAAACTAATTACATGATGTCATAATTCATTGTCTCAGGAGACACCCACAACAAAACTGAAACCACTGTTGTTGTTTTTTTGTTGCCGTTGTTAAATCAGAAGACAGCTTCACCACCGAAAGGCGGCCGTTTTCATCTCGCTTTCTGTACCGACACCAGGAACAAATCTGGGAGAAAAGGAATGTATAAATAAATCATTTACTGTCTTTTAGAGCGGCGGCGCATGCTGGGCCTCATTACTGTGCATGTCACACGTGTACTTTGAGCTTGTAGATAATGCTCCTGTGGTTTATAGATGGGTAAAGATGATATAACAAAACGCCTTGATTCGACTCCCTTTTTACATCTGTAGGATCAGCCGCCTCACAGAGACATAATGTGGTTTTACTAAAGAGGTACAATTATTTGGATTTCTACAGCTGGAAATTACTGAAGCTTTTAAGTTTGCATTGATATAAACACAGAGATTATTGTGCCTACAAAGCACAAATCTGTTCAACCTGCAGCCTTTGAAACTCGACGGCATTCGCCAAGATAATGATTGCAAAATCATTAATTTTAATAGAAAATAGAAGATAATGTAACAGCACTGATATCAAGGTTTGTTGAGAAAGTGAAACCTTGATACATCCAGGCATCAAGGTACATTGATGTTCTAATAAAACTTCAATCACGTTTTTTTTAAAGGCCCACAAATTTCTGTCCATTCATTTAAAGACTTTTGAATAAAATGCCCCAGTCAGTCATATAGTAGGCAAACAGAACCGCTATGTAGGGGAACTTTCAGCATAGGTAAAAAGAGAACATAAGCAACTGATCAGGCCTTGGTCGGGTCCATACAAATTTCCAATTAAGACATGAATGAGATCAAATGAGAAAAAATAGAAAAGTCCCTGTATTGTTCCACAATGGGGAAATTGTTCTGCAAAATACCCAAAAGTAGTTTATAATTCAACAGATAATTTAAAAAAGGATTACTCTCATGCATCCAAACACACTTCTCTATTCTTTAACTGATTTTAATCTAGCTAAAAAAATGTAATCGTTTTTTTCATTACAGTGCTTTAAAAAAAGAAAAAATGTTTATATCTATAGATCTATAGATATATAGATCTATAGATATATATATATAATTGTAAATAGAAATCCACACAGTGATGTAGTCGCCTTTAGCCGGACAAAGAGGCACCTAGTTATCTTTCCATTTTATCAGCAGTTTTTAAATTAATTGTTCCGTCTTTTCATTCACAGAAATGTAAAAAAAAGCAGAAGCAAAAAGTCTAATTTGTGTGAAATCTGGAACATTATTTATGGAGAAAACGTTCTTTTAAATGGCTCGTCTACACAGTTTAGCTTCACCTTTCTCTTTCATCCACATTGTTTAAGATTACACCTATTGTATACAAAGATTAGATATGATGCTAACAAACACTGATTGGTATTTGCGGCTTGAACACTTACAGCAGATAAAAAAAGAATCACCCTGCACAGATTTATAAATGATATAAATGTAATTATGTAAAATGATTGAATTTCTCTTTCAGATTTAACAGATTCTTTAACTGCAGTTGGATGCACTCGATTAAAATGATGAAATCTTTTCAACATAAAACAGCATTTTTTGCCCCTTTATGATCACCCTTAAATCCTATTCATCAAAATGCATCAAAACTTGAAACTCCCTACATTTTCTGTCAATATAAGGCAAATCTGATAAACACTTTGATGCATAAGATGTCCATGATCTTCCAACGCCTTCATCATGTGTTGGGTTATGTCAGTGGCAGCAGGTTTTCCCCTTTAATCTTTAGAATAAATACATTTTAATAGGACAAAATCATATATGATCACTTTGATCCAGGAACCAAGCCTTTAGTCCTGTATCAAAGTGCTCAGTTTAATGCTTTTTATGCATTTAGTGTGAAACATGCATGATTCCACCACAACACACTTGGTGCTTTGAATTAGAGACGTGATGCTGCAGCTCATCTCCTGATGCCAGTCTGAGCCCCCCCACCGACTTGCAGGTTGGTGACGTAGGAAGACAGGAGGACAGGGAGAGAGAGGGAGAGAAAGGGAGATGGATTGATAGACAAATGCAGGGAAGGCGGAACTTGGAGTATCTGCGTGGTGTTTTGATTTAGATTTCTTTATTTGGGCCATCTATTGATAATGATAGTGGGGATGATGATCGCTGTCGTCGGATTTGAGGTAAGCAGAGAGCTTTTTGTAACTTCCCTAACAGCATACTGGTAGATCGGCATCGGATCGCCCCCCCAGGACAGCGGTAACAACTCACCGATTCCTGACGAGGAGCTCTGCGTCTCCGGGCGTGGGGACGGGCACGGTGCGCACGGTCACGGCCTCTCTGAAATCCTGGCTGAGCTTGGTGACCACCAGCTTCTTCATGCTGCTCGGTATGGAGGAGCCTTTGAAATCCATGAAGTGCGTCGAGTAGGACGTGTCGATGATGAAGCGCCTCTGAACCGCGGGGCGAACTCCAGGAAGCCCGTCGGTCCCTCCTGCGCGCCTCCGGCCGATAAGCGCGGCTGCGGCTCTGCTCCCCCGCAGCAGCAGCGGGTTGGACATGCCTCCGAACTGTGACAAAGTTCACGGAGCCAAACTTGCAGCAATGATCCCTGCTGCCGTTAGCCTGCGCTACAGGCTTCTTGTTTTTTTCTTTTCCTCCTCTTCCTCCTCTGCGCATCCCACGGCGCGCAGATCACATCAGGCCGGTCTGGATCTGAAGCAACGCATTTAAACGAATTAAATAAACGATCAGATAAATCGTTCCGGTTTGTAACGCGGCATCTTCGTCTAAAATCTCTGAATATAAAGGTCTGTTTTTATTTTTAGGTTTAAAACGCAGCAGCGCCGCAGCTCAGTGGGGAAGAGGAGCAGCAGCGCCCCTGACTTATCGGAGTCCCTCCCCTTTCCTTTCCTTTCCTTTCCCGGACACAGCTTTCACTTCCTAGTGCAGGCAAAGGTGCAACAAATCCATCCGCACCTCTTCCAGCGTGCTTTCTCCGAAAACACACCCTCTCACTCCTCTGGATAACTGCAAAGATTCATTTCAAATCAAACTCCTATAATAACAAAATGAAAACCATTCACAGGCGCTCATGCTTTCTAACAGTGAGCGTGGAAACCTGCAACCAGAGCTCTCTCACTGGGGATCACTTTCCATTTCACTATCATGCTGTTGTCATCTGCTCCTCATTTTCTTCAAGCGTCAGATTATTATATTAAACTATCATGTGTGTGTGAGATCCCCCTAAGTTTTTAAACTGTTTGCAAAGATAGAGGCCAGAGGAGTGTGAAAGCAAAACAACTAACTAACTAACTAACTAACTAACTAACTAACTAACTAACTAACTAACTAACTAACTAACTAACTAACTAACTAACTAACTAACTAGCACATTAATGTTATTCAGAAATAAGCTGATTTAATATCTTAGAACATGCCTTTTACAGGTTTTTAATGGTGCCCCTTTCATTATTTCATATTCCACCAATGTGCAAGAAGTTGTTATGGATGGAATAAGTCATTTTATATATAAACAAAAAATTTAAAAAAATAAACAAAACAAACAAACAAAAACGCTATTAAAAACAATTCTAATCTAATCTCTCAGCAGTGCCAGGCTCTGCACAAACCTGGACCCATGTGGCAGACCCTTCCTCTGCCGCCCCCCATAGGTACATGCATGAAGATAGAGATAGATAGATAGATAGATAGATAGATAGATAGATAGATAGATAGATAGATAGATAGATAGATAGATAGATATAGATAGATAGATAAGTTGGACTAAATTGGAACAATTGTTTGTTCATTATTGGCACAGAGTAAAACCTACCCACTCTGGCTGCCCCCCTTTCAGAACTTTCTGGATGCGTCCCTGCATGGTGTCAGGTTGTTTTCCTAAAGGGTCTCAATTTCTCTCCAAAACGGAGGTTTTGTGATTTTTAAAGCAAGGAGAGAAAGAGAGAGAAAGAGAGAGAAAACAAGACAATTAAAAAGATTGACAGGTAGGCTCCTCTGTCAGGGGTGACGCTTGCGGAGAGGGAGGAGTAAAAACTGTAGCAGGAAAAGCCACTCGATGCGTCTGTCTATCAGTTGAGACTGTCTGAAACAGCTTCCAGATCCACCGCGTTTCCCCATTTTTCCCCACCTCCTCTCCTTTCGGCAGAGCCAACCTCGGATCGCTCCCCTGGAGTTTCCGCATCTTCTTCTTTCGCCTCTTCTCTCAGAGACGCAGACGTCTTTCGATCATGTCGATGTGATCCGATCAGCTCTGATCCGGGTGTTTTCTATTTTTCTTTTTTTGTTGGGCAGAGCTCGGATGCGCCTCTCCACCGCATGAAGCTGAGATCATTAAAATAAAGAAAAGCCACACCGACTCAGTCCGACACAAGGCGTTCAAATTATCCGCACCACTTTAAAAACGTAAGTATCAGAGAGAGAGTGTGTTTTAGTTCTATTGGCACCATTATTATAATTTTTTTTTCCTCCAAAGGAGCAAACGGGAGTGGAGGGGAGGGAAGGGGAAAGTGTCCGCCGGACTGTGAGGCTGGATTCGGGCTGAGGTGTGCTGGGCTTGACATGAACCCATCTAACGCTTCTCTCTCGCTCTCTCTTCTTATTTCTTCCTTTCTTTTAGGAATCTGGATAAAGACAAGTAACAGGAGGAGGTGTGGAAATCGCTCCCTCACATCGGACCTTATTTGTTTGGTGAAATCACCTTTTATATAGTTTTGGCGTGCGTAAAAAGGCGCAGCAACCTTCCCCCTCATCCCCTTCAACCAGGACTAGACTATTATAGGGGATTTTATTTCACCAAAAAAAAAAGGAGTGAACTGAAAACTTACTTTTGGTGCTTTATTTTTTCTGTTATTAATCCGGTAATCACTTCTTTTTCTGCGTGCCAATGGGCGAAATGAAGGAAGATGATGTTTGATGGACTCGGAGGTTTCGGGAGCTGGCCGAACCCTCGATTCCACTGAAGCCGACCCAGCCATCATCACAGCAAGCAGAGAGAAAACAAAAAAAGAGAGAAGCCTGACGCTTTCTGAGGCTCAGAACGGGATGATTCCTCAAATCTGATCAGACTTTGACTCCCCTTTTAAATAATTCCTGCATGAGAAGCCCCGTGGAAGGTCACTATGCCGAGGAGAAAGCAGCAAGAGCCGCGGCGATCAGCAGGTACAGCCCGCTCCTTCCCTCACAAACACTTCCTCCTTATTAGTTTCCTCACATTTCATATTTATTCATCAAACTTCATTAGTTTATTTGTATATTTTCACTCTTATAATCGCCCCCCTGTTGTTTTAACTCACCCGTGACGCACAATTATTTGTGCCAAATTGCGCAAAAGACGCAGGAATCGGGCACTTTCCTCTTGGAAACTTCTGTTCAGAATAGGGGGGATAATGAATAATAATGAATAATTGACACAGAAAGAGAGAGAGTCGTTTTTTCCCTCTTTCTTTCTATTTATTAGAGTATTGCCATCCTTGATTTGATGCGTGATTGATCGCCTGTCATGTGGCTCTCTTTGATCTGTTCATCCCTGATAAACATCAATAAATCCCCTCCATAAAGGCAGCAGCTTCAGCCCACCAGACACCCGCAGCTCCTCCTCTCTACTATTATTATTGTCATTATTTTTTAAACGCACTAATTCATTTTTAACCAGAATCGAAAAGGCCCAAACACCCTTTAAAAGTTTCAAGTTATTTATTATTTGTTTTTGTTATAGATTGCTAAGAAATTCACCTCTGTTATTTTTCATATGAGGGGAAGGTGTGTGAACCTAAATAATATTTCTATGCTGGAGTGAATTTGGAGAAAAATCAGAAAATAAAAGAAAAGCATGAGTATAAATTGGTGCTAAATGAGGTGCGTTCATAAGGTTCCAGTGTTACTGCTAGATAAATAAATGTAATTTTAGTCTTTCTGCATGGAAAACAACATTACTGTTTGTCTGATATGCTTGGTGTTCTACAGTTTGACGGCCACAGGTAGGAAAGATCTCCTGTTGTGCTTCTCATTGGAATCATTCAACGAGCTCATGTGATTGCCCAGCATATTGTACAGTATACGGTGATTTGCTCAATCAACTCTAAATACTCTATTTTTTCTTTAAGTGATAAATCAGAGTGTGTAGTTTTACTTTCCTGATTTATTCCAGACTTTCTAGAGCAGATTTAATGTCCTGATCTATATCTATATGCTGTGATCTTTGCAAAGTGACCAGAAGCAGGGATTGGTAGAGAATCCATAAGGTTGACTTGCACTGGTTTGGGTTTGGATCTGAACCCTCTCCATCACAACCAACCACCTATTTTTTTCCCCTTGCAGCCTTTAAACAAATGTAAATGAGTGACTGGGGCTTTTCTACCTCTGTGCTAATGAGGCCGAGCCTTTGAAGTTAGGCATTAACAACTGCAGCGAACAAAAGACAGTTACAGAATTTTAAAGAGATTTTTTTTTTTATTTTTAATATTAGGTACAGAGTGGGTCGAAACATGAGGCCCAGCCACTGAGGACTTTGAACTCAGCAGGTTTTTTTTTTATCATTGTGATGATGGTGAGGTGGAGGAGGAGGATGAGAGGGACTGTGAGATGGAGACGATTCCACCAGAGCTCACTGGTGTCTCCTTTTGCCTCTCTAACTGAGCAGCCTTCCTGGGATCGCTGGCCCACACTGAGAAGCAGGGATTCGGATTTCCACTTCCAGGCTCGCTGTACTTTTCCATGCGTGTTTTAGGGAATTGCTGCCGCTGTTTTTTGGGGGGGGCGAAAAATCTATGAGAGCGGCTCTCGTTATGTAGATGGGAAGCATGAAAAACATGACAGCACTGTGACCCCCTGACCCTTCTCCTCTTACCAAAACACACACTTAAACACCACGGATCCATCCCACCTCCTGATGGTCAAAGCTCAGCAAACTTGATCTTTTCCATTCTCCCATGAAAACGAGGGTCCTTCTGGATAAGCCCCTCCACTACTTAAAAAAAATCCCCTCACACACACCAGGCTAGCCTGATGCTCCTCTGGGAGCTGCCGCTGACCTGTAGCTTCCTCTTCGTGTGCCTCTGCTCAGACAGGCCTCGGTGGCAAAAATCAAACGTCACACGTTATAAAAAAAATATGAGAGTTTCCAGGCAGATTTCTCTTCATGTCGAAGCCACTTGAGTAATATGACGATGGTATGTAAATACAGATAATATTTCACAAACAGTTGCTCAAACTTTTAAAAGTAAATATTTTAGGATACTTTTTTTTCTATAATTTAGAATGATGAATTAATTTCAAAAACAAAACACATGCTTTATTTTTTTTAATAAATATATTTAGAGAACTTTTGGGGGTGTTTTTGCTAATAAAGTCAAATTGAATCGAATTGATTAAAACCAACGCTCCTGTGGATTCAACAAATGAATATCTGGATATCTTTTTTTTTTGTTAATATTATTATTAAAAATATATAAATAAATAAAAAAACAACAAACAAACAAAACAGAAGTGGAACCAGGTTGGTTTTTCCAAACCTACTTGGTGCTTTATATCCACCAGAGCCCAGGCGTGTCCTCCTGTGTGACACCTGCAGCTGTTCCTCTTTGGTGAACGACTTTGTTTTCGAGGTGATGAAGACGAGAGAGCGAGTTGAGGACAGAAAAAGGAGTGGCTCCTGCCTTTCATCCGAGGCGGGCTCGGATCGGCTCAGAAAAGGAGTGCAGATCAGATAGTCGCTCCTTCTTCTTTGAAACATGCTGGTTAATTATAAGACAGACAGTGTGTGCATACGTGTGTGTGTGTTCAGCTTGCAAAGAGTGCATAAGGGGTGCTTGTGGTGCTCGTTGAGGAGACGGAGGGGGGGGGGGGGGTTGGTTGGATGTAAGGTTGCTTCCTGTTGGCTTCATTAGAG